AGGGTTTGCATATGATATGCATGGCCTCCCAGAGATTTTACAGAGCAGCGGGAACTGCGGTGCATAATTCTATGGAGGGAATAGCTTGTCAGACCTAAAAGTAGGTACCTTTAATTTTTTTGTAATTTTATGCATATTTCAGAGACTATATACATTTGCTTGTTATACTTACGTCTGTATCAGGGTTGAGAGTGAACTCAGGCTGATGTCTGAAATAAGGTATAACTTAGAAGGCTTACTGGATGAGTGTCCCGTTATACGGACCAGTGGAACTGTGGCTGCGTAAACTCCCAGGACAGAGTAAGCCCTATGTGGGCGTGTCTCTGATTTCCCAGATTAATCAAGTATCCATCCACTTTCCAGTTGTTCCAGTGCATGGGAGATCCAGAAAAGATCATCTACATGTTTTTTTTTTTTTTTTAATTTTTGACTGCAACAGATCTTAGTTGCAGCATGCAGGATCTAGTTCCCTGACCAGGAATTGAATCCAGGCTCCCTGCATTGGGCACATGGAGTCTTAACCACTGGACCCCCATCCCAATCTACACGTTCTTATGGCAACTTACATTTCAAGGTCCTATGAATGGCACCAGTGATTCTTTATGGACAACCATAGCATGAACGAAGCTTCCCAGACTGTCATCAACTAGTGAGTGTCATGTTCAGAGAGAAAGTGTGAATAACCCCAGGGGTTATACTTTCATAATAATTTTGAACATATTATATAACATATAAGGAACATAGACTTCTCGACTGTTATGAATGCCTCCTGAGTTCAGTAAATTACTGTCCCCTACCCAACCATGGGGAGATGCCTTTTGCACTTCCAGTGTGTAGCAAGAACCCCAGGAGAGGTCTCCAGATTTTAGAAAGAACCCTGTTGGGGAGGGGCAAGGATGTCCCGGGAGTGGGGAGAAGGAACACAGAGGGTGTCAGAAGGAAAGGAAGAGCGGCCAATTAGGGTCTTGGGAATCCCCACAAAAGAGATACAGGAATAAACTACAAGGGGGCTCTGCACTGTTTCCTCTTTCTGACAATCAATGCTTCTGTTTTTTTTTTTTTTTGCACTGAGTTTCAAGGCATCCTCCATGGATCAGCGTTAGCAGAGGCATTAGACACATCCGAATCTGAGAAGCGCTTTAATTACAGTGAAGCTCAGAGCTCATCCTCCTCTAATCAGAGAGTGTCTGACTATAGAAAGCGACAGAGAGACTCATCCTCCCTTGGATGAGGGTTTTCTTAGGGCTAAAAATAGGTCTCGTAGTCACCAGGCCAGCACTGTCCTGCCACTTCTGGGGTTGTGTGGGGAGGGGGTTTCCTTCTCTTCTCCAACCCACTTGGACACCACCTCCACCCCTTGGCCTGTCCTCATTTAGAGTGTGTGCCAGCTTGCCTCTGCTTAAACCCAGCTCAGCCCTGAACTTCAGTCATATTACTTAACCAACCCTCATCTGTAAAATGGGGATAATGACCGTGCTTCCTGCATAGAAGGATCACAAGAACAAATTGAGTGAATATATGTGCAGTGCTGAGAATGAGAACTCTGACTGGCAAGTGACAGACGCTGAGGACATGTTGAGGGTTGCTCTGTTATGATAATTTTACGTTTTTCTCGGCATTTCTGAATTCCTTAGTGATGACCACTTTTCTACATAGGAAGTAACTTTGCTAGTCGGGAATGATCATGTATGACCAGTTAGGGATTTAATACATGTTCAGTCCAAAAGAAAAAAAAAAATGCAGACTTGACAAGTCAATGTTATCTTAGGACAAGAGTTGGCACACTTTTCCTGTAAAGGGCCACATGGTCGATGTTTTAGACTCCGCAGGCCCTGTGGTCTCTGTCACAAGTACTGTACTGTCATGGTAGAAGCAGCCACAGGCAATATGTAAATTGATGAGCATGACCGTGTTCCAATAAAACTTTATTTACAAAACCAAGCAGTGGGCTAGATTTGGTCCACAGCTAGAGTGCCCCAACCCCGACCCAGGTTATAGACTCCACAAGAGAGGAACCAAACCCCATCATGTTCACCTTGACATCCTACCACTCAGCATCTTGTCTGGCACACACTTGCTGCTCACATTGTGATGAATTTCTGAGTGAATGAATAACTCCAGAGGGAAGCGTTTTTCATCCCTTTAAACAGTGGACTTTGGCATACCTATTCAGACTGAAATGCGCAGTTTGAAGTTCTGTCAATAGACATGACAAAAGAGTTCCTGGGAATGACAGACCATTTCCATCCGAGGCTTTCAGGCTCTCTGGCAAATGTGTGTGTGTTAGTTGCTCAGTCGTGTCTGACTCTTTTGAGACCCATGAACTGTAGCCCACCAGGCTCCTCTGTCCATGGGATTCTCCAAACAAGAATACTGGAGTGGGTTGCCATGCCCTCCTCTAGGGGATCTTCCCAATCCAGGGATTAAACCTGGGTCTTCTGCATTGCAGACAGATTCTTTACCATCTGAGGCTACCAGGGAAGCCCCTACAGAAAATAGGTGTTATTAAAAAAAAAAAAAAATCCAGTGACAGAGGCTCCAGCAAACCACAGCACTGCCTTTATAAAGCTTTGTCTATTGTCCATTGTTGACTTGGAGCTGTCTGACACCTCCGACACCTCCGAGTCAATAATGGACGGGCATCTCCTATCTCTGGGCACAAGAAGCATGAGACCTGAAACTTCTGCCCTGTTGTTCCTGCTCCCCTGCCCAGGCTCTCGGAAGAGGTGACTCAGTTAAGAGTTGGCTCCGGAGTCAGACAGGCTCATGGATCCCATGAGCTTACGCACATGACTTCCCCCCCTTATGCTTTGGGTTCCTTGTCTACACAATGGAAATATAACAGTAATATTCTCAGCTCCCATGGTTGATGTGAAGATGAAACAGGATGATGCTCAGCATATTGCCCATTGAACCAGCACTCAACAAAAATAGCTTTACGATTTCTGGACCAGCACCTGGTATCTGTTGACGTGATGGCTAAGGGCAGCCTCGCCCTGGTTCTGAATGGCCAGCTGATGCCTGGGAAGGATACCTGGGAGGCAGTGCTCCCTGCTTCCCTCCCACCTTTATTTAACCCGTTCCTCCCCTCCCCACTCCTCCCTGCTGGTTTCCACATCTGCAGGAGATGACGGTGTTCTGAATACTTTGAGAACCAGGGCATTCTCTGGAGGTTAGAAAACATAGCCCCAAGTGTTCAAACCTGAAAGAGACACACACTGAAGCTTCCTTCAACTGGCAGTTATGACTGAGGAAACTGGGGGTCACTTACACAAAGAGCTGGAAGGTAAGAGGCAAGAATTCTCTTCCTATCTTAAAACAAGCAGATTCTGAGGCATGAAGCCAGTGAGAGGTCCTCACTGTGCCTCAGTTTCCCTACTAGAGAGCAGGAAATAACCATTTTAGTACTGGTTTGGGTATAATCAAAATGAAGGTTAAAGCGCTTGGCAAAAATAAAACATGATCTAAAGAGGGGTGGCATCATTTAATAGTCATGATTTACGGATAGCAGGATAATAGAAGCCACCATAGGTCTAAAATAGTTTTAGAAACAGCTCTGCCTAGAGGTTAAATGACCTCAAAGCACCTTCTAAACGATTCTCTTTGACTGCCGTACAATTTCTTCAGTTTCAGGAGAACGAGGCGGAAGCCCATCTGAATTAGTGAAGAGCAGAACTTTATTGCAATTAGTCCATCAAATCTAGCCCTTTTAAAAAATTAAAAAGTGGGCCTTTAACCCAGTGTTCCTATGAGATGTTTTCTTAGAAATAGATGTAAATTACATGCAGTTGCTCATACCTGAGTAGGTGTTTATAGAGAGTTCTAGGGTATTGGCAAACCATTTATTCTCTTAATTAATGTAAACTTTAGTCTGCAGTCTCTGGCCCCCAATCTTGGAAGTATGGTTGTTGTTCCGTTTTCTGTGAGGTGTCAAAAGAATTCTGGGACTTCCCTGGTGGTCTTGTGGTTAAGACTCCACCTTTCCAATGCAGGAAGTGCAGGTTCAATCCCTGGTCATGGAAGGAACTAAGATCCTGCATGTAGCATGGAGCGGTCAAAAACAAAAAAGAAACATTCTATAAAGGAATTCCTTTGGTTTGCTATGCAAACCTTATTTTCATTGATATTGCAAATGTAAACTTCAGGCTAGCTCAGTCACCACAATTTCTAATTTATGGAATCTGCATTCCTAAGGACTGCAGACCCCCACACTGAAATTAAAATCCACAGGAATGCTGAGGACTCGGTCTGCGGCCTTCCCGGAGCGAGTGTGGGTCAGTCCATAGGAACCCCTCACTTGTCACTCCTTCTCTCTGACCACATGGCAGTTGGCAGCTGGGCTGCAGAAAAATGCCTGCAATCTCCTGCCGACCGGCTAGCAGAAAACAAGTAAGAGTGAGACTGGCTTGCTGTCCTGTGTGGTGTGTGGGTTCAGCTCCATAAGAACTTTTGTCGAGGTCCAGACCTTTTGTTGCTGGGCTGAAAGCCAGGGGCCTGTGAGCACGTGCACATAGATTACCGAATCAGGTGGGGTTGCCCCGAGTGACTCCTGCGGGGGTTTGTAGAGAACAAGGATAAGTTCAGGGTAGAAGTGCTGATTCCACCCTGCAACTCCCACTGTCCCAGGGAGGTGTGCTGAGGAAGAGGGGTGCAGAGGGGTCCGCCCATGCACACTGCCCGGAAGTTCATCCTAGAGTCAAAATAGGAAAGGTACCCGGCCAGCAACAGCGGGGATGATCCAGGCTCTGTCAGCAGTTTCCTCCCTATCACCATGCAAGCCCAGGGCCTGTCACAGAGTAGGTGCTCAATAAAGTGAGTGAACAAATGAATGACTGAATATTTGTTTCTTTGTTGAATGAATCAAAGTGTCTAGACCACACAAGGCCATTCATTGGCAAGTCTGGGGCAAAGCGCATTTAGAAGGGTGACAGCTGAGGGAATTAGTCAGTGTGTGTCCTTTCCAAACTTGCTGGCTTTCCTCCAATTAAAAATAAATGAAATAAATTTTAAAAATATTTTAATGAGGAAAATGCAAATAAATAAATACAATTGCTTGCTTAGGAGCCCAGGTTCCTCAGACCCAGGGTTCACTCGTTGTTCATAGGAACGCTCACCACTTTGCCTCTTCTGAGACACAACCCTACGATCTTTATTAGGGTCACTCATCTTGCGAGTGGAAGTTATCATTTTTTAAGATGACAATGCACCGGGGGCAGTTCAGGTTTGCTGTCAGTCTTCTGCTTTTCAGGATTAACCAAATAGGAGCTTGCATCCAGTAGGTGGCACTTTGACAACGAAGGTCCCTGAACTCCTTGAGAAATTTGACAACAGCTTTTTAAATTCATCTCAACTTTTAAAATAAGAAGAATCAAGCCACAATCCATAACTGTGGTTGCAGATGGTCAGTATTTGGCTATCAGTAACACCATCATTCTCCAAAGGCCCCTAATTTCAGCTTGAGGTTCAGGCAGAGGAAATAATTCCTGTGAAAATTTAAGACAAGCAAAATCATTCCAAGTCCTGAAAAACCCTGAAAGAAATAAGGTCACAGGACTTTCCCTGGTGCTAGGGTGTTTATGTTCAGTGATTTCTCTCTCTCCTACTAAATATACCATATGGAAGCAAGCTTACCATCTGGAAGGACTCTAAGTGGGTTCCAGATGGATCTCCCTTTGATCCAATCGATATGGACAGGAGAACACCAGAACAAACTCTATCCCATATTCTGACTTGGCTGCTAGATCATAAATATTTCAGAACAGGAGCTAAAAGCAAGCCCTGTACTGATGGGTTAGGAGCAGGCTCTGCAAGAAGAAAGGGCAAGCTGAGAAAAAGAGAAACACTTGCAGAGAGGGGTCAGCGGGGATAGGACAGAATTTGAGGGTACCCAAAGGACTTGCCATATCACAGGTCACTGCCTGGAAGGACAGCATCATCATTTCAGGTTTTACTTTGTTTTAACAAAAGGGTCACAATCTATTTTTCCATAGTTTGGCACATGTGAGAGGAGTGGAAGAAAAAAGTTAAAGATTGGCTCAACCTTTTCACCCCCGGGCTGTGCCAAGCGGCCGCGTATACAGCACTGCAGAACAGGGGAGATAAAGCCAAATGCAAGGTGCCTGGTGTTTCTTTCCAGAAACCCCATGGCCCTAGAGCTGAGATTGGAGGACTGAAATGGAATTACTAGGATTAGAAGGCAAAGAAAGGCTTGGGCCATGTGAGCAATAGCTCTGTCCTTACATGTGCACAACAGTTCTTGCCTCCTGGAACTGTTGTGCTGAACAAATGTAGGCAAATCACCTATTACAATGCCTGGCACTTAGTAGGTGTTCAATAAACTGTAGGGTTGATTTTTGTGTTTAAGTTAAATAATGCCCTCAATGGCACCCCACTCCAGTACTCTTGCCTGGAAAATCCCATGGACGGAGGAGCCTGGTGGGCTGCAGTCCATGGGGTCGCTGAGAGTCGGACACGACTGAGCGACTTCACTTCCGTTTTTCATTTTCATGCATTGGAGAAGGAAATGGCAACCCACTCCAGTGTTCTTGCCTGGAGAATCTCAGGGACGGGCGAGCCTGGTGGGCTGCCGTCTATGGGGTAGCACAGAGTCGGACACGACTGAAGCGACTTAGCAGCAGCAGCAGCGGTCATAGTTTACAAAGGACCTTTAGAACGTTCATACATTTGAGTCTCACAATAACTTTATGAGACAGGAGGGAACTCTTAATACCGTATTGCTCATGAGGAAAATGGTGCCCGGAGAGTTTTAAAGAATTGTCCAAAGTCAAACATTGGGTCAATGGAAATCTTGGACTCGAAAGTAACACGATTAGATTCTAGCTTTGAGAGGTCTTTCCACTGTGACAACTGTACCATCTTTTGTATAACTTCAACGCTTTCATCTTTTTTTCAGGCGTGCTTCATTTCTGGTTGACCCCAATAGTTATGAATCATATTGAGTAAACAGCTCTGATAATTTGGAACTAAGGTGACCTGTGTGTGAGTGGATACATTTCTACTTTGGGGGGAAATAGTGAAAGTAACAACAGACATGTAACCCTGATATTATTTAAAAAGAGAATCCTTGTTCTAATTCCATGCTACACATAAATAGTATTCTACTATTTTACATTTGGTAAATTGCATATAAAATAAAATTCTTCTAGCATTTAGTACAGATAGATAATAGTGTTACATAACCTAAAATAGAAAATGATAAAAGAACATTCCCCAAAGGAGGACAAAATGTATCTTTTTCACGTTCTGATTCTCTAGTGTTAGGGTATATGGTCCTAATTTGTTCCTGTACTTTCACTAAAGGCTTCTGAAAAGTCTCCTCATAAGGCTCTATTTTTATGGAGAGCTAAAAACAAATTAAAAAGTGAAACCTTTCAAGGGAGAATTTTCTGTGTGCTTGGTCATAGTCTAATTTTTGCCCCAAAGATGGCTTTTTTCCAGGTCTGTTTAGCTGTTGGAACAAACCTGGAGGCCTCAGTCACAGACATTTATTTTGTCTAATAAAAACATTGTGGAATTTGCATAGCATATTTCAATACCCAGGAGGTTTTCACTTATTTCCACTTATTTGTTTATTTATTTAATCCTATTTTTGGAGGGGGGAAAAATGTAATAAAACCCAGAAGATAGCACCAGGGAGACCTAGGTTGGAATCATTTTGTCTAGTGGTCTTTGGTACATGTGCCGAGGAACAAATGTGCCCAGTCCTTCTTGGCATCTGGGGCACCATGAGCTCTTTTCAAAGTTGAGAGACTTAGAAATCTGTGGTTCCTGGTGGGAAAAATATGATTTGGCTCCCATAGCTTTTCCTTCCCCGGGAGTAGTGGTTTAATTAATGATGTTGGAAAACTAGGCTAAACACAGACACTCTTGCAGTAGGAGGTAGGAACAGCATCAAGGCCCAACCTCGAGTTGTGGGCGTTGGGCCAGCAGGAGCTCAAGAGAAAAATGGTGCCATCTGCCCATCTTCTTCTGGAATTGCTGCAGCCAGGTGACTGACTGTGGAGCGTGGGCGCTTGTGCTTCTCTCAAACGTTAAGATTCCTTACCAGTAGTGCGTCTCCTCCGCCTTTTGTTGCGTCACAAAATATTGCAAACAAATATTTGGATAAGGACATCAGTGAGCCTCAATGCAGTCCTTAGACCACAGGTGTTGCTTCAAAGACCTCAGTATCCTCCCTCCCCGTTTACACTGGCCAAGGAGATCAGTTTGCCTCTCTAACCTATTCATGGTGCAGTGAAATCATCTTCAAATTTGGGTCCCGAGAAGGAAGGAAGGGAGAATAGAATATATACACTCCTACCTAAAATGCAAGTGGATATTGGGAATACTATTGATTAATACCCTTTGTTGCCATTTTTTAGTTATCCCTTTCAACTTAAAATATAGTACAAATCTAGGCTTGACGTTCAAGAAGGGAAACACAAAACTACCACTGAGTACCCAATCAGTGGAAATATCCTATGTAGTAATGATATTCTAAGTTCTAGTTTTCAACTTTGTATATCTGGACATTTGAGTTTTTTCAGTATGCCCAGATTCAGGAGGTCTGGTTCTCATTAACCAACCTCAGAAGAGACTGATGCATAAGCAATAATATCAATGTAAAAGGTTGTAGTAGAAGCAATTCAATCCCTGGGTCAAAAAGATCCCCTGGAGAAGGAAATGGCAACCTACTCCAGTATTCTTGCCTGGGAAATCCCATGAATAGAGGAGCCTGGCAGGCTACAGTCCATGGGATTGCAAAAGAGTTGGACACGACTTAGTGACTGAACAACAGTAGAAGCTATTCCTTTCTTATGGCTAAAAATGTTAAATTGATCATCGAGATCACCTCCTTTTCAATATCAGAAAAGTCCATTTGGAACCAAAAAACTGTTTGGGGAACACACAGAACAAAAGAGGGTGGCTGGATATCCTTTGGAGAACTTTATTTAGGTCACAGGAAAGCCTGGTGAACAAACCATCCTTGCTTTACCTTGGAGTACCTTCTCTAGTGATCATTATGCTTATGAATTCCAAATCCAGTGGTTCAGTCCTTGGATAATACTAGATAACACAATGCTTACACTCTAACTTTCCCTTTTAGAAACCCTAAGCAGGCCAGCCTGTATGTTATACTACTACTGATCAACTTAGTAAAATCACATTCTACTCACATGGCCCTGAAATTATGTGCTTCAATGTACTTCATATACTTGAAGTGCCAGTGTACTTCAAATAGTGTTGGTGGTTTTTCATATATTCTTTCCTAAGTGACTCTTACCATTGGTCTCACCAGTTGTATATGAACTCTTAGTGCTGTCAAGCTTGTGTTTTCAAGTTCAGGGGGCACTTCACTTATACTTTTTGAGCTTCCTCTGATGATAACTGGTGAGAAAAAATAATAAGATCTATGTTTGTCTTAACATATGTGGGTCAGGGCTTTCTAATAAAACTTGAAGCAGTTAAAAAAATCAGCTATAATTGTAGATCCTTAATTCAGTTCAACTAGGGAAAAGACTAGCTTTGAATTAACCAAAGTATTTAATCACAGCTTTTGTTTTTTAAAGGTCTGATTTAATGAAAAGTACTCTGAATTGGAATGAGATCTCTATTCTATTTCCCTCCTCCATTCACATTGGCCAAGATCATTAACCTCTCCAGGTCTCAGTTTTCTCATCTGTAAAATGAAAGTATTGAGCTAACTTGCCTCGAGGGACCCTACCAGTTCAGTATCTACTTTCTCTAATGCGTGTCTCTGTAGCCCTCAAGCAAAAGAATTGCCGTTTTCAGGCAAGAAAGAGTAGCTCGCAGTAGTTAGATGGTCCTGCCCCAGTGAAACACAATTTTCAATTCCTGAAACTCCACTGATGACAACAACAACAACAGGAAGCATTAAATTCCAAAACTAGCTCTGTGTGAACCTTCGAGAATAAACAAAAACTTTTTTGGTTTAATTTTTATGGTGTATTTTTGCATAAAAATATTGCATAAAATATTGTTATTAACCTTTGAATGGAAATGATGCAATAATACCACAGCAGAGTCTGAACATTCCAACTGCAAAAGAACCAGCATTTCTCCACCACACTATTCATGGTTTCGGGTGGATGGTATGTACTTTTCTTTGGTCTCTGCCATTTTTCATTTAACAAATCTTCAAGACTGAGTTTTTCCATAAAAAGAAGACAGAGCAGATCCTTGATCATAAATTGAGATGGAGAGGCAATAAAAGCTGGCAAGTCAGTTAAACCACTAATGCTGCCCTCATGTCCCCAAGAAAAATTACCAAAGGGCAAGTACATTGTTGTTTAGCCACTAAGTCATGTCTGGCTTTTTTGCGACCCCATGGACTGTACCCTACCAGGTTCCTCTGTCCATGGGATTTCCCAGGGAAGAATACTGGGGTGGGTTGCCATTTCCTTCTCCATGGGATCTTCCCAACCCAGAGACAGAACCTGAGTCTCCTGCCTTGGCAAGCGGATTCTTTACCACTGAGCCAGCTGGGAAGCCCCTAAGTACATTGTAGCCGGCATTAAAATACTTTACATGTTTGAATTCAAACAGGATGCAAAATATATTACTTTAAAATTGATTTTGAAATGCTGGAATAAGCGATTGTTCTAATACTCTTTATTATCTTGCCAAATCCTTAAGAATTATTGTCCCTATTTAACAGGTGAGAAAACTGAGGCATAGAGAAGATAAATAATTTGCCCCATATCATGTAGTTAGTAAGTGGAAGAACTAGGGTTTAAGCCAGGCAATCTAATCCCAGAATTTATGATTTTAACTTTTATATTATGTTATCCCCAATTAAGTAAGCAAAATGAACAATGATATGTTTATATGACCAAATATTTTGCAATATTTGCAACTAATAAACAATTAAAAATAAGAAGAGTTACTGACATGGGGAAATACATATTGTTTTGTGGATAAATAAAGAAACTATGGATAGCATAGCATAATTCTATTTAAAAGTATTTTACATGCATTTAACACATATACATTATAGGCATAGAATATATACATTCACAATTTAACTGATTATCAGTGGGTAGTGGAATTATTGGTGATTTTTATAGTCTACTTAAGAATTTTTCTGTATTTTTCAGATTTTCTAAAAGCTTTGAACTTAAAAACTTAAAAAGCTGCATTGAACTTTCAGTTTCCAGTCCAACCTGTGAAGAACTTGGAAATTGTCACTTCTGTCCTTGCAGTAAGAAAAAAAAGCTGCACAAACTAAAATTCAATTACCCATCAGAGAACTCGGCAGAGCAAAACTGCCGCCTTCAAGCTGGAGAGACAAACAGGCAGATACAGAGAATCACAGCTTCTGTGCAGCAGAAGCCCATGACTGGAGCGAGTGTCTGTGTGAACACTTAAAAACCGTGATGGATAAACTGCTGGAGGCTCAGTCTACCCTAGTGTTGTTGAGCTTCCCACGTGGTTCAGTGGTAAAGAATCTGCCTGCCAATGCAGGAGATGTGGGTTTGATCCCTGCGTTGGGAAGATTCCCTGGAGGAAGCCCACAGCAACCCACTCCTGTATTCTTGCCTGGAATCCCATGGACAGAGGAGCCTGGCGTGCTACAGTCCATGGGGTTGCAAAAGAGTTGGACATGAATTAGCAAGTAAACAACAACAGTCTATCCTAGCTTTAGAGCTAAAAATTCTCAAGCTAGGATAGGGGCCCCCACACTTTCCTGAGTTTTATCTCCAGGAGCCCTACCAGGTTCCCACTGTGAAAATGGAAGAAAAAAAAAAATCCCTATATGCTTCCAGTAGGGTTAGGGGGGTAAGTAAACATTTTGAAATCTGCCCAGAGCATCCAGTTCCTTCATTAAAGTCTAGTCTCAAGGAACCCTATTTAACCAAGTATAACTGACTGGGATTTTACCAGATCATAACACACCCAGGGGGAGGGAAATACCCAACTCCAGTCCTGTCTAGCCTTTGACACGGGGGAAGGGAAATACCCACTCAGGCTCACTGGTAGACTGAGACCTGTAATAACAGGATCAGAGAATACGTTCCGTCCCCCCACATCTCACCACAATAGTCAGGGCTCCTGCACAATAACAGGGGATTGCACCAAGAAGAACTGCGAGCCTCAGAGGCTATTTAAGTAGTCTCTAGGAAAACCCCCAAACAACAGAGGAGACAAAAATAAGGACATCAGAGGAAACTGCAGCCTCTGACACCACAGCCATAACAAGGAGTAAAGAAAGCCTAACTCCTAGCTAAACAAACACAAAACCTCACGCTACAGTCATATCTGCCTCCATTCCTTTTACCCCACACATCATGTCTGGCTTTCAGCAAAAAATTACAAGGTATAGTAAAAGGCAAAAAACAAGGTCTGAAGAGACAAAGCAAATAACACAACCAGACTCAGATATGACAGAGATTTGAGAGTGGTCAGACCAGAGATTTAAAAATAACTTTGACTAACATGTTAAGGGCTCCAATGGAAAAGGTAGACAGCATGCAAGAACAAATGGGTAATGTAAGCAGCTAAGAAACAATCAAAAGGAAATTCCAGAAATCAAAAATATCCTAATAAGAGGACTTCCCTTGTGGTCCAGTGGTTAAGAATCTGCAATTCCAATGCAGGGGGCACGGGTTCAATCCCTGGTCAGGGGACTAAGATCACACAAGCAGCATGGGAGACCAAAAAAAATTAAAATGCCCTAACAAAAATGAAGAATGCCCATGTCTTTGATGGGCTCATCAGTAAATTAGACATGGCCACAGAAATAATCAGTGAGCTTGAAGATATTTCAATAAATGCTTTCAAAGCTGAATCGAAAAGAGGAAAACAGAAAAAGAACAGACTATCCAAGAACTGTGGAACAACTACAAAAGATATACCATACATATAAGGGGAATACCAGAAGGAGAATAAGGACAGAAAATAACTGAAGAAATATTTGAAGTAGTAATGGCTGAGAATTTTCCAACATTAATAAGAGATATGAAACCACAGACCCAGGAAGCTTGGAAAGCACTGAGTAAGATAAATACCCCCAAATCTACACTCTTTCATATCATATTCAAACTTCAGAAAACCAAACACAAACAGAAACTCTTGAAAGAAGCTTGAGATGAAAACAGAACAAAACCAAGAATCACCCTACCTACAGAGAAACACAGCAAGAATTATATTTCTCTTCAAAAGTCATGCTATCAAGAAAACAATGGAGAGAAATATGTAAAGTGTTGATAGAAAAATCCAACAACTTAGAATTCTGTGTCCAATAAAGTGATCCTTCAAAAGTGAAGTCTTTCTCAGACAAACACAAATTAAGGCAATGTGTCACAAGTAGACCTACTTTGCAAGAAACATTATAAGGAATTCTTCAGAAGAAAGGAAAATTATACAGATCAGAAACTCGGGTCTAAATAAAGAAAGGAAGAGCATTAAAGAAGGAATAAATGAAGTTAGTAAGGAACCATACTCACACAGAAGATTCAGAAAACCATGAGCACAGTCACCTGCCAATCAGAGCTCCATGGATGCAGGTACACTCTGCCACAGGGTTTGCTGGAAGTGCCCGGCCTCAGAAGCTCCATTAGAAGCAGGAAAAAAAAAAAAAAAAAAAGACTTCTCCTCTCTTTAGTCAATTTCCTATCAGTTTCACATAAGTACCAAAATAGTCTACCCTTTGGCTACTTAGCAGCCTTCTCACCATGATTAAATTTCCAAATAATAAGAACAGTGGCAACATCATGCATCACCTCTAGTGTGCAACTATTGCAATTAAGATGACGATATCCCCCTCCTCTTCCCCAAAACAGAAGGTGCAAAATCCTATCCATTACCACATCCATGTCTCGGAGATATTAATTCCACTTCTAGTTCAGCCACAATCCCTCCTGGATATTTTATAATCTAAAGATTAAATTGCAAAATTGACAACTGCCAACAAAACGGACAGATGTGTAAGTAGACTGGCCAATAAAAAGAGAGGGAAAAGACCCAAACAACCACCAGCATTCCTTATATAAAATAGGAGAAGGAGAAAGGAGGAAAAGAATTGGTTTTATGTGCTAACAAGTGTTGTGAGTTGAATTGTCCCCCCTAAAAGATGTATTTGGGCTTCCCAGGTGGCGGTAGTGGTAAAGAACCTGCCGGCTAATTCAAGAGACATAATGAGACATGAGACTCAGGCTCAATCCCTGGGTCAGAAAAATCCCCTGGAGGAGGGCATGGCAACCCACTCCAGTATTCTTGCCTGGAGAATCCCATGGACAGAGGAGCCTGGTGGGCTACGGTCCATAGGGTCACAAAGAGTCAGATACAACTGAAGCAACTTAACACACACACACACACACACACGCCAAAAAAAAAAAAAAAAGAAAGAAAAAAGAAAAACAAACGTA